CCCGGTGTTCCCGGAGGACGCGGCGGGACCGGCAGTCCCCGGAGCTGTGCGGGGTCCAGCGGGAGGGGCTGGGGGGCTGTGGTGGTGGGTCGGGGCTCGGCTTGGCTCCCGGGGCTGGCGGGGCTCGCTGTGGAGCGCTCGGTGCCCGTTCCGTGCGGGGGCTCGTGGGGAGCTCCCCCTTCCTCGGGGAATGACCCGCCCTGCGGCTTCTGGAGGGGTGAGCTGAGCTCGGCACAGCGCGGGGCGGTTGGGATGGGCAAAGGCAGCTCCTGCTGCTGCTGGAGCGCTTGGCAACCCAAAGAGGGAGGGAGGTTTTGTCCCCTGCTTACGGAGCACGACATTGGGGCTGAATCATTCCCAGGGAAGTGTCCGCTTGCAGCGATTGCTCGGTGGAAGCTCTTTGGAGAGAGGGCAGTCCGGCAGGTGTGCTGTCCCACACTCGGAGGGCGGGCGGCATCGCTTCCCCCTGCGCTCCCAGGGAGCCGCCACCTCTCCCCGGCTGGGAGAGGGGGAGCGGCAGGCGGAGGGAATCCCTCCTTCCCCACTCTGGGGCTTCCGTGGAGAGCCGGTACCTGCTGCTGCCGGTGCCCAGGTGCCCGTGGCCGGTGTCCCGGCGCTGCCGGATCCTGCCCGGCCTTTCCTTGTGGCGGAGCATCCGCGGCTCAGGGGCCGCGGGACAGCCGCGGGGGGAGCTGGAGGGGCCGGCGGCCCCCACCGGGAAGTGCCCCCCTGTCCTTGAATCCCTGCGGCATCCCTTGGGAGCTGCAGCCCGGGCACGCGTGTTTTCCGAGGCTGCGGGCTCCTGGCATCGCTGGGGACAGGACAGGATTGGGGCAGGAGCTGCGTAGTGCCCTCAGCACATGCCCTTGTGCGGTCCAAAGAAAGGGAGTTTTATTGCATTCCCAGGAACTGCTCCAACAGCTGTTGACTTCCCCCTGCCTTCTCAGGGGAAGGATGTGGTGACAGCAAGAAGGCAATTGGTGGGATTGGAGGGCACTTGCTGCATTTTGGTCAGATGTGTAACCTGTGGAATGGGTTTGTTTCCTAGGAGAAAACATTCCGGAGTAGCAGACACAAGAATTTGTAAAAATTAACAAAATATCCATTTTTATTTAGCCTTCAGCTCAACCATTTCAGAAATTCAGCAAAACTTTACACAGAATGAACATTTCTCTCCTTTGCCAGATGAAAAACATTGTATTGCTTGGTCCAGTCAATAATGTTGGGTTTGAACATACCAAAGCAACTGCACTGAAAGAAGTCTGCAAGATTCTGGAAGCATCCAAGACTGAAAAGGAGAAAAATATGCATTAATAAACCTAAAAAAAAAAAAAAGAGAAGACTGCAAGCATCAAAACTGCACATTCACCACAAGACAGTACTTCAGATATAAACCTGTCAGTTTTAAAATTGTGGAGTTGGTTTTTTTTAGTTAAACAGTTCTCTATTGAGCGTTATTCCTTTGCTGAACTTTTAGAACCTGTTTTACATTAACATATCAGAGCAGATGAAGTTGAACTCAAATATTTAAACGTTAGTCCTTAGTAAGATCCCATCTGTTAACACATATAAGGAAACAAAGAAACAGGGAAACCTTGGTACCAATTTCTCTAAATACTGCGAGAGAAGTTGTAAAGGGGCCAGTTCATGCCTTAATTCTCTTTCTGATCCTACACAACAGAGAGATTGATGAACAAATTAAAGGACAGCTCACCCTCACCCCAAAATATTATCTACTGATTAGTGCTGGGGACTGATTTTGGCACAGCTTTCTCCTGTGCACACAGCCATGCACAAAAAAAAACCCCAGGTCTTGTGCTGGTTGCTGATTTCCTAGAGAAAACGAAGTTCCCAGTAAGGAAAACAAGGTCCACTTCCTCCTCTTAGCACAACTCTTAACAGGCATGACTGGCACATCCTATTTTTTGCATTTATGAAGCAGCGAAGCAAATCACTCAAAATACCCTGTTAATCAATACCCACTTGTATGGAGTTCTCCTGAGTGAAACAGGATGCTTGGATGATTTTCTCTGCATCAGGAGGTTCATTCTTTCATGAGAGGTCAGCCCCAAGAACGCAATCTTAGTGAAAGGAAAATGTAAGCAATGGTTACAACGTGAACAGCACAAACCAAAAGATACCAGTGAGAAGGGAGGTTGCCCATATCTAACAAATGAGTAACTACTGCTATAACTGATGACTGAGAAGTGTGTTTTTAGATGTCACCTGGGCTAAAACAGAGTACTACATCAGTACATATTTACAGTTGTGGAGTTGGGTTTTTTTGGTGTTTTTTTTTTTTTTTTTTTAATTAAACAAGATGTAAGACAAGTCTTCAGCTCACTATGCTTAACACATATTTCAGTGACATCTCTTCTAAAAGCTGCTAATGAGCTGTCTCCCAGATGTTTTAGGACAGCTTTTCTCAATTTTGTTTTCATAGCCAAGCTCTGAGAAAAACATGAACAAGAAATTTGACGGTCCTCAACAAGATAAAATCCAGGTCATATACTTTTATTGTTGCGACTGGAATTTAATACAGTCTAATGACACACTGCCCAGCTCTGCCACTGAATCTTAAACTCAGGACAAATTGTGCTACTGAGCTTTTGTGTCATTTTTGGGGCACTAATACCGGTTCTATTTGTCAAATACATTTCTCGTCTTTAAATACTTTCTAGAGGTTTGGAATTTTTTGGTGAGTAGGAAACCCAGAGCTCAGTTATAGGAATGATCTGCAGACTGTGATCCTGCTTTTAACAGGATCAGTCTCTGCCCTGAGATTTAAGGGAAGCTCCTCCCTGTGACTGAAAACAGTTAAGGAAAGCGGCCACAAGGTCCTCATGGGAGCAAATCATCCAGGGAAAAGTTTTAAGCGTAAACTGAAGGGAAATAGTACCTGATAAAGCTGAACAACGAGCCACAAGGAAGCCCAAACAGTGTGGAAACAGGCCACTGCAGAGATGTAGGAAACCCAGGGGGAGCAGTACGTGACCTGTGTGAAGTACGTCCACGCTCCATCCTGCTGGTAACTTGTTGGGCAATGGTTGGACCAATCTGAGAAGACACACAACCAGTTAATTATGTTTTTAAGCCCTTAAAGAACTGAGCAAGGATTATTTGCATGAAATGACTACTACATAGCAACATGCTCTGGAAATACAGTGTTTAACATATCCCCTTCCCACTTAAAAGCACCCACATAGATGCCTCACTGCTTGTTATTCTGGCTGCATCATCTTCACATGCTGGGTTCGTAATCCACAGAAAGAACATCCAAGAATTTATCATTTCTCTTAAACACCATCATCGGCAAAAGGAGACCTGATGGTGACAATTCCAAGACAGCAGTATTCCACCACTGTCAAACAGATGTAAACTGGCATGTCCAATTCCTGCAAATTTCTTATGAGCTACTTTAAGTCTAATTAAAAAGAAAACAAACAAACCCAAACTACATGGAAAGCAACTCTTTTTTTTTTCCTTCTCTGTATCAGTAGCACAATAAAGAGGTTTTCCTCCCAAATTCCTTCACACACAGAAAATGGAGAAAACTCTATGGTGATTATTGCCTCATAACAGTATAATGTGAAGCAATATGAAATAAAATTAACTCCCTCTGCTTTTTTATTTAAAAGGTTAGTGCTGTGGTAATTCACCCCCAGGAAATACATTATAATGGTCCTCCTCTCCCCTCTAAGAAATTTCCTAATTTTTTAAAAGTAACAGTTCAAATTTACTAATGATATACACAGTTCTCTTTAAAGTTATCACTACATTAAAAACAGAAAAGAAATGCTTGCAGGTACTCAATATAGATATTTCCAAATAACAAGAATCAACAAAAGCTTTTGTAATAATATATTTACAAACTTATTTTCTATTACAGTAAAGGGCATTCAGACTAGAACCTGTAACCTGACCTTCCTCCCCGTGGCTTCTCTATTTCATCTCTAACAAAAATTCTTCCTGCTGAATGGACATCCCACTAAATTTGCATCTTTTGTGTTCAGCAAGAAGTATGGTATTTGAGTAAAGACCACGATGTATTGTCACTTTTTTACAATAATGCCACTGCTGCAACATGGCATCACTTGTGCAGGTATAATTACACTTGCTGGAAACAAAATGCTGAAAAAAATAAAAGACCAGACACACATTCTTGAAAAGCAAAGTAAAATAAATTCATGGATACATACACAGAAGAGTTCCATAAAGCAGCCAGACACCTGTCATTGTTAGGAAAGTCAGGAACAACAGGTAATAACAATGGTTCCCAACACCTGAAATTGAGGCAAGGAAAAAAATTATAAAAAAAAAAAAGTTTGACAATTCAAAATTCAGCAGTATTTGCATTTCCCCTGAAGTTAACAGGAATAAAAAGCGAGTCAAAACCATTTCTTGTTATTACCTCAGCCATCCACAAGAGAGCTTGACAAGGCTGATCTCCCTCTCAACTCTCTCCTGTAAGCCACCCCAATTTATAGAACAGAATTAGTTCTGATAAAGTCAACCAGGATTTGTGTCTTCTTCAGAGCATGCCTTCAGCTGTTTTAGCTGGATGAGGACTAATTATGCAACCACAGCTCTCCCCCATGCACAGTAAAACTGTCTCATATCGCTGCAAAGTCTAAGCTATTCAATTTGATTGTTTGACCTCGTGTGCTTCAGAATTGCAAAATACACAAGAACACCCCAGACCTCTGCCAGAGAAACTGTTCCATGAAGATATGAAAATTATCTTTATTTATATTACAATCGTATTGCTCAGACCTTCCAGACAATGCATCAGAAGGATGTTCTTCCACCTTTGTAAACAGCAAACGCCGTAACAGTATTTCCAAGGATTTAGCATAACAAAAATATTTTAATATAACAAAAAAATTGGGGAAAAAAAAGGCTAAAAATATATTGTTACAGATGAAAAAGTCTAAACTTCCTATCTTGAGCACCACCAGTGATGAGCCAGGAGGGAAGAAAGAGGGTGAGAGGAAAGAACACAGGAGTATGAACAACGCCCTGCGGGGTTATCTCAGGGGTCCAGCTGCTCCTCTCACAACTGTCTCTAACAGTGAAAGAGGCACTGGAAGGTTGGGAGGACACCCAAGCCTGGCCACTTTCTGGAGTTCACTCTCCTCACCCACAGCCACTGCATTAAAATGTCAGACTGTGCACACTTGTCTAGTTCTTTTAGTATCTACTTTTGGACACGCTGTCCAAAAAAGTCTGTCTGACCCCCTTTCTGAGCCTTCTGACTCTGCCTGTATCTGCAAACCCTGACAGCAGCAAGCTCCAAAATTTCACTGCCTGCCACGTAAAGACAGGACCAATTTTAAATCCTTATTTCTAGCACGATGTGCTTGTTGAGTAACAGTTCTGCATTCACTTTAGCCACCATCTTCATATTTTTT